ATATCTACAATGAAATGAAAATTTGCTTGTTGGAAATAATTGCAGTTTCAAAAGCACCCACTTTGCAGGTGATTCACCCCTCAAGAGCTTAAGCACTCAGTAATCCCTGACCTAATTCCCTCAAAAAGGCGCCAACTGTATTCTCAAGACCCTCAGCTTCTTCACCTGACAAAGAGAAAGTTGTAAGTGAAAAGCGAAATACATCGTGCAGACACCTTCCCTTCTTTTTCACTTTAAATATCAAACAACTTCAAAGACAAGTTTACTGTGGTAAGTCAAAACGTGTCTTTTACTCCGTTGCCGGTGTGTGAATTCTTTCTTTTCTTACTGAAATTCGCAACAGCAAGTCCAAACTTGCACAATACCTGCTGAGCACCAGCTGTTCTTAAGGAAACTCCTCTGATAAAACAAACTGCCTTAGAAAGCCAGTTTCTTTTTAACAACTTCCGGTCTCAGCGGTACAGGTTCCTCCTTAATCAGCTGAAGCCTCATCTAAAGCATCAGAGGTGTCTGCTCCCACCCTAGCCTGGGGTATTTGCAGCCGTCAAGCGCGTGGCACCGTTTGGCAGGTAATCAGGGCTCTGCAACTCTTTTGCTGTATTAACTCCCTTTCTTTCCAGTCCTCTACGCTGTCAGGCTGTTCTCATGATCTGTCCCTCCTGTGCAGTGGCCGGAGAGACGGGGCAACGCGCATCTCCTCTGTAGCTGTTGTCTAGTCGCTAAGTTGTGTCTGACTCTTTGCGACCTCACAAAGTGTAGTCCGCCAGGCTCCTCTGTCCATGGGATTCTTCAGGCAAGAACACTGGAGTGGGTTGCCATTTCCTTCTCCAGGGGATCTTCCTGACCCAGGGATTGAACCTCTGTCTCCTGCATTGCAGGCAGATTCTTTACCACTGAGCCACCAGGGAAGCCCATCGTCTCTAGAGTATATGAACAAAGAGGACTTCACTTACAGACACACCTAACGTCGTCTCAACCAGGTTGAGATGAGCTGGGAGTCTGATGGCTGAGTAAGTCGGGTGTAGTTGTTTTATCTTTTCATGACAACAAATAGCAAATATCCAGTGGATTTGCAGAAGCACATGTTTGGGAAGTGAGGTCTAACATCCACTCCTTTGATGTGACGGTCTCTCTAAATAGGCCCTTTCAGATTTCCATATGAATGTGGGCTCTAATGGGCTTCCCAGGTGGCACCAGTGGTAAAGAACCAGCCTGCCCATGCAGGAGACTTAAGAGATGCAGGTTCGATCCCTGGGTGGGGAAGATGCCCTGGAGGAGGGCATGGCAACCCACTGCAGTATCCTAGCCTGGAGAACCCCAGGGACAGAGGAGCCTGGTGGGCTACAGAGTCAGACAAGAACCATGTGACTTCACACAGCACAGGGGCTGCAATGCAGACCCCCCCGGATCAGTGGCTCGGAACTGAAGGCATTACAGCCTGAGCTGACTGCTCCAAGCTGACGGGCAACTCTGCTTCCCAGAGGCACTCGGAGGCCTGGGTTTCTTCCCCACCCCAGGCTCTGGCATCCAATGAGCCCTGCACATTCACCTGCCTGGCTAGGGTGCACCTCCGGGTTCCAGCTGGTGCAAAGGGGAGAGCTGGAGGAGACCCATCAGCTCCCAGCTCTTGGTGAGAATCAGCCGTTTGACCCCATGGATTCATAACAGCAAGAAGGGCTCAGAAATGCAGTCCCCCTCGAGGCAGGCAGTCGCCCAGCTGCGACTGTGCTTAGCCGCGGAAGATGCTGGTGGACGAGCAGTACTGAGCAAAACCGTCTTCTCTTCCTTCTACTTTATAGAAGCAGGGTGAAGCTTTTATAAAGTTATTTTAAGAATTCCAATAGGAAAAAAAGTTCAGATTTCCATCAAAATGCTACAGAATTGTATTTATTTAAGAACTGAAATAAACATGAGACCATTTGGTTATCAGGTGACTTGCCCCCAGCAGCTGCTGTTTCACTGACTTGTTGAGCGTCAGTCCCCCCTAGGAGGGCAGGGACTTTGTTCAGTGTTGGTCCCAGCAGCAGGAGTGGTTCCTGACACATAGGAGGCGTTAATGAGTGAGCATTGAGTCGCTCAGTCGTGTCCAACTTTTTGTGACCCCTTGGACTGTAGCCCACCAGGCTCCTCTGTCCACGGGATCCTCCAGGCAAGAATATTGGAGTGGGTTGCCATTTCCTTCTCCAGGAAGAGTTAATACGTCTCGGTTAAATGAATAAATAGGTAGATGGAATGGAAACAGAGCAACATGTAGGGATTTTAAATTATTTTGTGCCTTTATATCTTTATCCGCTGAGTCGGGCTGCCAAGTGGCTCAGTGGTAAAGAATCTGCCTGCCAATGCAGGAGACGCAGGAGATGTGGGTTCAATCCCTGGATCAGAAAGATCCCCTGGAGAAGGAAATGGCAACCCACTCCAGTATTGTTGCCTGGGAAATCCCAGGGACAGAGGAGCCTGGTGGGCTACAGTCCATGGGATCACAAGGAGTCAGACAGGACTTAGCAGCTGAGCACACAACACTGCTGAGTTACCAGGGATGGTAGAACATTTCTGACGGACAATTTCTAATTATAACAAGATTCCAGGCTCTGAATGACTCCTGGTGTTTATACTTCTATCTTAAAGAAAAAGCTATGAGCCTGACTCATGTTGTGCCTTGGATTTTTTTTTTTTAAACCAAAGCACTGTGTTCAACTTGACTCCCAGATGTGAAAAGTGCATGGTGTGACATTCAAAACACCTGCAAAGTGAAGTACCTTAATTTGCTGAGATACTAAATGGTCTATGATCAAGATCCAGCCAGTATTTCTCTCCAAAGGTAAAAATCAAACATTTTTCTATCATTAAAACCAAAAGAGTAATTCAAATTAGAGTGTCCTGTCACTTGTGAATTGGAAGGAAATTCTTACAGAGTGGGAAATTCATTCCACCAAATATAGCAGTCAATATAATTAAATTCAGTGGCCGTTTTTAAAAAAAGATTATAAAATTGAATTTATTGAGTTTCACACAAGATGCACTTATAAAATTAGTACTGAATGCCATTTTAACAGAAGAAATGAACATCAGTCCAAACTCCCAATATATTCTGCAAAAAAAAAAACCTTCCAAAAATGACAGCATAGTTACAGAGTCATTCAAGCTGAACTGAAAGATATACCCAAATCATATTTTTGCTCTGATTGGGGCTTTGTTTGGCCAAGTTTTCCCCAAGCTATGCTCATTCCTAGAGGAACTGTTCCTTATGGTGGTGAAGAGAAGGTGGAAAAACAATAATAATAACAATAATAATTCTAACATGGGCCTTCACTGAAACATACACAAAGCAATTTCAAGTCTTTCATTTTTAACTTAAGTACTTCCTGGTTTCCCAAAAGCATTTCTGTATTATTTTCCTTTTTTTAACCTTATGTGAACAATCATCTTCAGATTCCTTTAGCTTTAATGTAACACATTAAAATTCGCTTTTATTTTTCAGAGGAACGAGTCAAAGCATTAAAGCTTACTTTACGTTTCACCCAGGAGATAAGACAAATCAGCTAAAATTTACCTTCTGCCATATCACATGCGGGAAATATCAGCACAAGAGTTGAACTTCAAATGAAAACATCAAAGGAAGTTAACAGTTAACGGCAACATCTGGACATTCTGAAGTTAGACCCTGGACAATTTTTTATAAAAATGCAGAAAGGCTCCTCAAGATAAAATGTGGTGGAAAAGAACCTGCCCTGTGATGTGGGCCATGGATGGGTAATTAAGCAGAAATGGAATCTTGATCTCAAACAAAACCAAGAAGCACCATTTGGCTGCTCCCCATACAAGCCCCTGTCCACACCCGGACAGCCACCCGCATGCCTCAGACGTCTCCTTTCCTTTTCCCCACACAGCCTGCCCACCCTGGCGCACACACACCCGGGGGCCCACCTCCCCAGAGCACAGACTGGTGCCAGGCGCGGGCGCACAGACAGACGGACAGGCAGACGGGCAGACCAGCTCTTTCTAGGAGCCCGAGCAAGACGATGCCCCACCCACACAAGACTGACTTTAAAACCGTGACTTGGAAAACCCAGTTGAAGTTGATACCTTTCAGTTCTGTCCTCTGACAGTTCCTCAGCCTGTTCAATACCAAACCCTTTTAATGGTAACAACTTAGGAAGCAATCAGTTTGAAAGGGAAACCAGTTAACTCCACCTGAAAATGAACACTGCTCTGCTTTTTTCAGAATAAAAAGTGCCTTTCTGTCAGGGAATTCCTATTTTATCCACTGCAATTACACAAAATACAGCTCACGTTTGGCTGTGAAGAGTAAAATGGAAAAACTAGGAAACATTTTCTCAGTGATGCAAACCTTCATTCATTCATATTTTTTAAATAAACTGGCTTAAGGGTTTTTTTTTTCTTTCCCTCTATAAAATGCTACTATCCATCATGTCTCATTTAAGGTAGCTTTTCATTCTGATTAATTCAGATACATCTTCGAAGAGTATTCTGGTGGTAAGAACATTTACCTTAAGTTTAATTATTGTTATCTTTTTTTTTTTTTTAATGCTTTGGCAGATGAAGTTTGAAAACGGTGGGAACAGAATGAGGCTGGAAACGGAGCGTCATGTGAGAGCTCCACCGTCTCCAGCGCATCCCGACGCCGAGGAGGACTCGAGGTGGAGTCCCGTCCTCTGGAAGCACAGGCTGACGGAGTGGCGGGGTGGTGGGGTCGCTCCCGCAGGGCCCAGGGTGACTCTGCGGCTTCCCCGAGCAGGAGGGACCTTTCCTGAGCCACCCATCTGTCCAAGGGCTCGAGGCTGGAGGTCGCTGCTGGCTGCCCCGTGTGACCTGACCTTCAGCCAGACCACGCCACTGGAGAAGGACACTAAGATTTGCTTTCCGTCAATAAGTTAAGTTCTTAAATAAATATTTAAGTGCCGTCTTCAGCATCTGTCCGTCCGGGGGGCACTGCCTCTGGGGCCCTGAGACTGCATCTTTGGCACCCGGAGCTCCGGAATTCAGTCAATTCGGTTTCCACAAATTGTGAACCTGTCTATCTCTAACAGATCTTTCTTTGAGGACCTGTGTTTCAGTTCTGAGTTCTCCTGTGTTATGTCCTTCTCGTCGCCGTCCGGGGTGGTCAGAAGCTGATCAGAGCTGCTTGTCACGAGCAGCGGGATCGCATTTTCCTTCTGATGAGCGGGCTGGCTGGTGACTGAGGCAGACAGGGTTTCTTCTGTGGAAAAACAGACCCGTGTAATTAGAAAAGGGTGTCCTGACAGCCTATCACAACCACAAGCTTTCCAGTATAGTGGGACTGAAAAAAATGTCGACTGTCCATGCTTTCAGATAAAGCAAACAATAGCCTAATATTAACAGCATGCTGTATAAACCCTATGGCTTATAATGAAACTTAAGAGGCCATACTATTTCTGTTTCCTCATCCAAAATTGTATATGGCAGTGTAATGTGGACCACGGCCCACAAATAGCACCGTTGCCGGATTTGGGGAAAATCAGAAGTCCTGTGTCACAACCATCTTCGTGCACACACAGGTCCTAGGAAGACCGCCGCCAGGCCCAAACCCTAACACTGCCCCCCCCAGGACAGCAGGGCCGAGCAGACGCGAGACCACTGCGCCTCTCGTGCGTGGTCACGGTAGTTAGACAGTCGGCATCTTACTTCCAGGAAGTTCAGATGAGAGATTAAAAACACACCCATGAACGAGTCCGCAAACGGCCACGGGCATCCCGAGTCTGGGGGCCTGGACACACCAACCTGCGAACTGTACACTCGGCCCGCACCTGAGCAGCGTCATCGGGGTAAGAGTGACACCCCACACAGGGTACCTGGCTAAGACGGAGGGCCGGACGGGCGCAGACACACACACACAGCCGCGACGGAGGCAGGAGCGCGGCGCCCCGCTCGGCACCCCCGCCCGCTCAGCCTCCCCTCCGGCTCACCGCCCGCTGGACACTGACCCCGGCTCTCTGCTCTGCCGCCCCACTGTGGAGCCCCCGCCGGCCCCTCTCCTGACGAGCCCCCCGCTCCGGTCCTACTTCTTCTCGTGCTTCGGGACTCAGTCCAGGCCTCGCCACCTCCGGGAAGGGCCCTCTCCTGTCCCCTCTGTAACCCACTGCTCTCTGATCTGGGTCAGCCACTTCTGCCGGCTCCTCTGTCAGTCTGTGAGGCCCCAAAGCTTCATTTATTTACCTCTGTAGCTCCAGGGTCTCATATACCGCCTGGCACAGCCACGCAAGAGTGAATCATTTAAACTAAAAGTCATCTGAACAAATACTCATGTGGACGTGGAACCACCGTCCACTGACAACAATTAAGCCCCAGTCCTTCCTCCAGTCTTCCAGGCCAGAAATCCTGGGGCCACCCTTAACCCCTCTCTGCAGGGCATGACCTCCCAGCGAGCCCTGTGCTCCTGGTGATGCACCCAGAATCTGGTCTCCCGCTGCGCCCACGCTGACCTGTGCACAGAGCCGGGCATCTCCCCGCCGGCCTCCACTCCTGGGCTCACCTTCCTGAGTCTATTTTCCACAGAGACCTAGACTGATCCCGCATCCCGGCCCCTCCCCACACGGCAGAAGCCAAGATGCTCATGGGAGCAGCGGGAGTCCTGGGCGGCCTCTTGGGACCCCTGGTCCCTCTCCCCCGGGGGGCGCTCTCTGGTCCCCCCACTGTCCCTCTCCCCCGGGGTCGGGACTCTCAGGCCCCCTACCAGTCCCTCTCTCCCGGGGTCGGGGCTCTCGGGTCCCCCCACTGTCCCTCTCCCCTGGGGTCGGGGCTCTTGACCCTCCACCCTGTCCCTCTGCCCTGGGGTCGGGGCTCTCGGGTCCCCCCTGGCCCCTCTCCCCTGGGGTCGGGGGTCTCAGACCCCCCCGTTCCTCTCCCCCAGGGTCGGGGTCCCCTGGCCTCCCTGGCTCTCGCTGCCCCTGCCCGAGGCTCCTGCACGTTCACCCACACCCCAGCTCCTCACAGCTGGGGAGCCCCCACCCCCCATGTCCTCCTGCCAGCCTGCTTCCCTCTCCCCCACAACACAGTGCACGTCCACCCGCTCTCCCCCTGACCGTCTTGTCCGTGGCCCAGCTGTTCCTGGGCCCGCCAGGTACCAGGCGCCCGCCGACCCTCTACTGAACAGGGACAGGCAGAAAAAGGCTCGGAACTCTTCCCCAGGGGCGTCTGCGATGAGATCTCAGCATGAACATGAATAATCCAAAGCTGAGCAAAGCAAAATCCGGTCTTGAAAGCGCTGCTCAACAGTGATTTTTTTTATCACGGAGCGTTCAGACAACTGATTCTCTAGGTGACAATTCGCAGAGGTGATGAACAGAGAGCCACACCTACCTTGGGAGGCTTTGCACTTGTTCTGTGATTTACTGGGCGGTTTGCCGGGAGCGCTGGCCGGGGGCGGGTGGAACAGCTTCTCTTCCATCTTGGCCTCCTTCACGTACTGGCAGGATTTCCCCAGCAGGACGATGCTGTTCAAGACTTTCAGGGAGACCAACCTAGAACCGGGAGACACCGCCACGCGCTGCGGGGGTCCGTCGCTGCACACGGGGGCCAGCCGCCCCCAGCTCGGCCGGGGAGGAGGGGAGGAGGGGAGGGCGGGCCACCCGGTGCCACATGGCCAGCTCCTCGTGCACACCCGAGTTTCTGGAGGCTTCTTCACCCCAGGGAAGCAGTTTTGAAAAACCCCTTGGTTTTTATCATAAGAACTAATTATACTTAGAAGTCTTACCTGGTGCTAAACTGTCTAAGTGACATCTGGTGTATGACCCTGCCATCGTCTGTGCTCGGAACGCACATCTATTTGTACCTCTCGCTCTCCGGAATCGGGGTGTCTTTAAGAAGGTGGTGGGGGATTGGTGCTCACAGCCAGAGTAGAGGCTCTGGGGGCTGAGCGTGTGGGTTCAAGCCCTGACTCCACTGCTCAGCACCTGTGTGTATCTCAGTGAATTTCCTACCAAGTTTGTCCAGAAAGGAGGTGACTTTAGTAAGATGCTCAGAACAGTGCTGCTGCTGTGGCTAAGTCGCCTCAGTAGTGACCGACTGTGCAACCCCAAAGACGGCAGCCCACCAGGTTCCCCCGTCCCTGGGATTCTCCAGGAAAGAACACTGGAGTGGGGTGCCATTGCCTTCTCCGCAGAACAGTGCCGGGCACACAGAAATGCCCGCCAGTTCTGCTGTATGACCACCGCTGCTGTAAATGACAATGCATCCGGAACATTCTTCTGACCCGCTGGTGGCTCCTCAGTGCACTGGCCGTGATGGGCTTGCAAAGCTTCTCTGTGCCGGCCATCATATAACAGAGCCCCCCAAAGCCTTCAATTTCTGGTTACTTACATTACTTCTAACATGTTGCTTCTATTAAAAAGTTTCTGCTTAAGAAAACTACGTTATATCTCTGTTTCCTTAAGATAAACTCCAAAATATCTATAATTACAGAAGTGGGATTTCTGGACCAAAAGGTACATAGTATTTTTAGGCATTTGAAATGAATCTGGCAAAAATTCTGAAAAAAACAAAACAAAGCTCTTCACACTGATGTGTGTGTGGTGCGTGCTCAGTGGAGTCCGACTCTTTGCGACCCCACGGACTGCAGCTCCTCCGTCCATGGGATTTCCCAGGCAGGAATACTGGAGTGGGCTGCCATTTCCTTCTCCAGGGGATCTTCCCCACCCAGGGATCAAACTCATTATTATCTCATGTATTGCAGGCAGATTTTTACTGTCTGACAAGGCCTAGAGTGTGCTTAATAATTAGTGTGGCAAACATAACTTAAGCCTTAAATAAGGAGGACTATAAGTAAGTGATTTCATTAAAAGATTAAAATACAATCTAAATGGAAGCAACCTAGATGCCCATCAGCAGACGAATGGATAAGGAAGCTGTGGTACATATACATAATGCAATATTACTCGCATTAAAAAGAATACATTTGAATCAGTTCTAATGAGATGGATGAAACTGGAGCCCATTATACAGAGTGAACTAAACTAGAAAGATAAAGACCAATACAGTATACTAACGCATATACATGGAATTTAAAAAGATGGTAATGATAACCCTATATGCAAAACAGAAAAAGAGACACAGATGTACAGAAGAGATTTTTAGACTCTGTGGGAGAAGGCGAGGGTGGGATGTTCTGAGAGAACAGCATTGAAACAAGTATACTGTCAAGGGTGAAACAGATCACCGGCCCAGGTTGGATGCATGAGACAAGTGCTCAGGGCTGGTGCAATGGGAAGACCCAGAGGGATGGGATGGGGAGGGAGGTGGGAGGGGGGATCAGGATGGGGAACACATGTAAATCCATGGCTGATTCATGTCAATGTATGGCAAAAACCACTACAATATTGTAAAGTAATTAGCCTCCAACTAATAAAAATAAATGGGAAAAAAAGAAAAAAAAATAAAGTGCCATCAATACTTCTGCCAAATAGCATATTTAATTTAGCCAGAATTTAACTGAGTCACAAACACATTTGGGGATACAGGCTGGAGATCCCAGGACAGTTGTGGCCTGGTCGCTGTTAACTTCTACCACATTGCACATTTGTGTGTGTGTGTGTGTGTGTGTGTGTGAAGTCACTTCAGTCATGTCTGACTCTGTGTGGCCCCATGGACTGTAGCCCGCCGTGTGCCTCTGTCCCGGGGATTCTCCAGGCAAGAATGCTGCAGCGGACCATGCCCTCCTCCAGGGGAATCTTCTCGCCTCAGGGATCAAACCCGCATCACTTTACATCTCCTGCACTGGCAGGCAGGTTCTTTACCACTAGCGCCACCTGGGAAGCCCTCTGCCTTTACACTTGACTGTATAACCAAAAACATATTAAAGAACAGTTAATCTTACCCCAAATAGAAGAGGATGACGCAGGCATAAGACAGGATTCCTTGCACCTTAATTGAACTTGTTACCACTCTGATGAGCTAGCCAGGAACAAACCAAAACAACAAATCACATAAACAAAACACACAAAGTTATCAGTTAACATTTGAAAGAAGGTTTCTCCATGCGGACTTTAACATTCTGGGCACATTCCTGTGGCTTCTGTCTAAACCCAAGAAAGCAGTTATAGGATGTGTCAATTCATATCAGAACCTGGCTGCTTGTGGAACCTTTTATGGTAGATAGAGATTCTTTGGGCAAATCTAAAATGCCCACTAATGCCAAATTCAACCTCTGTCTCTAAAGTCAGACACTGCACCCAGCTCATGACTGACATTTTTACCTGTACTTAACAGAGATGCAAATGAGTTGGCTTTAAAAATAAAGATTATTCTGGGAACTATAAACGGATTCATCTTGCTGCACGCATCTCCACCAGGGCTGGAAGCACTTGGTGAGTGTGCCCCTCATTCTTGCATTTTCTGTCCTTTGTTCTTTGACTCTCTGAGAACTCCAAGGACTTGCTGAGGGAGACAGAGAAGGGACCCCTTAGGGGGCATGTACTGTTTAACAAAACTAAATATTGTTAGGAAACTAATTTACTCACAGGCCAGAAAATTTCTCTCTCTTTTGGAGAGTTATGGTTGCTAAGTTGCTCAGTCATGTCTGACTCTGCACCCTGTGGACTGCAGCCCGCCAGGCTCCTCTGTCCATGGGATCCTCCAGGCAAGAATCCTGGAGCGGGCTGCCATGCCCTCCTCCAGGGGATCTTATATTTTCTTACTTATCTCACAGAAACATAAGAGTAACAGCGCTATCTCTGGAAATTTGCTGAATAAATCTGATGGAATCTGTCACTGAAAAATATTTACACATGTTACAGGTTCACCTTAATGTACCCCTATATTAGGGTATGTGGGGACTGCTATGTGAAAACAGAAAATCAGGGAAAATAACCAACCTTGTCCAGTAATGTCATCCTCAAATGGATGAGTCTCAGTTAAATAAATAACACAAGAACATTTCAGATGATATTTTAAAAATGCTTTTAATAGAAGAGCAATTGGGAGGAGCTAGACAGAATGAACTGCCATATATATCCAATAAAATCTCTGTCTCAGTCTCTAATGGGGAAATGACCTGTCATCAAACATTTGTGATGAAAAGTAATATGGTTCTAGAATTTTGTTCAGAAATATGAAAAGTAAAGAGGTTTCAATGACTTCATTTTTACCCAGTATATCATTAGGTAACTTTAAGATACATATGTCCCAAGTCTAATTTCCTTGAGACCTTGATTTGATTTACTTTTCTTGGATATGAACTCATTCTAGGACTTAAAGTAACATTTACAAGGAAACACTGCTACTCTTGGCCTTAATGCAAGAACTGGCTTGGTTCCTGAGGCCTCAGTTTATTCCTCAGGGGCCCTAGGTTTCTGCCAAAGCTCTGGGGTCACTCTGGTGCTTGGTGAGAAAAACACTGCAGAAGAAAACCCACTGGGTCTGCACGTAGCTCCACAATCCCCTTCAAAACTACAGATTTCCCAGAAGTGTTCTGCTAATCAAGTATTAACTAAACTTAAATCTTCTGGTATAACCACCATAAAACTCACTTAGAGAATAAAATGAAGATTGATGAAAAATCTAAAAATACTAATGTAAAAAATTCATACTAGTTATGATCAGAATTTTCTGGTAAATAAGTTACTAGGCAAATTATTACTTGGCAAAGCAGGGCCACATTTAAATACAACCACTTAACTAATCCTTAAAAAAAAACAAAAAGGCAGCCTAGGTTTATTCTCACACGGCAAGTATCCTTTTTCCAGTTGCAGAAAACAAAGAAAAAATCTTAAATTCTATTTTATCAATCTCTTAAACCATTAACAAACAATTTCACTCTTCAGAATTTTCTGTTTTTCCAAAATTCTAGGAGTTCCTTTCCCTAAGCAAAAGAAAGCCATATTTGTATATAATAAAAACAAACTACTAACACAACTGAAAATATTTAGGATGTGTTTATCTGGAGAGTCCTGCTGAAGTTTAAATAACATGAAATCTATTAATCATTCATCCTCTAAAAAAAAGTTAGGCAAGCTGGTAAAAAATACAGTTAGTATGACCTACAACTTCTTTCTACATCTCTTAATTTCCATGAGACTTTGCATCTTTGGAAAACTTCAGATATCCTTCAATGAAAAGACAGTTGCATTTGTTTTGATGTGAGAATAGTTAGCCAAAAGGAATGCAATCAAATATAAGTGCAGTCAGCAAAATCTTAATTAACATTATTAGAGCTCTAATTAAATATTACAGTAACTATTTGCAAGGCTGTTCTGAGAAATTCATTAAAATATCAGAAGTTGATGACTAATGTTTTTGATTGAGTAAGTTTCAGTGCCATGATTTAAAAATATATATGATATTTCCTGTGTATAACAGTAGAAAATTCCCTTGTAAAACTTCTGAAAAAAAATTTAAGAAGTAGTACTTATAATGAATACAGAATACTTCATTTGAGCAATCGTGTTTATTTAATCTATTTCATCTGTTGCCAAGTTTTTACTACTATAAATGCTACTGCAGTGCATAACCTTTCCTATAAATCACCATTTGCCTTTCATGACTGTTTTCTTAGGAGAAATTCCTAGAACTGGAATTACTTCATCAAAGCATAATACTGTCATGGGGCTCTTCAGAAATGTTGGATCAACTTATACTTCCACCAATATGTGTTACAGTGGCCACTCAAAATGCCTACCACTAGGTATTTCCATTCAAAAAGAAAAATCACTGCCAAGTGAATAAGCAAAAATGAATATTCTCACTGTTAGGAAAGCTATCACGTAAAATATGCCTTAACATCTTTTATCCATTAAATGGCTCAAAATCCAAAAGGAAAATATTATAATTTAAAACAAAATTTCCTTCTAAGTCATGGACCTTTAATTTTACTATCAAGTCATTTTAGAACAAACTGATTGATAATCCATTTATTCATATTCTTTAATGATGGTCATCTCATCATAAAAAGCATATGGACTTACTAAAACAGCTAGTGGGAGAGGAATAAACCCCATCCTCCGGGCCACGGAGTCACTATAATCAGTATATGCCTGGACAGAGAGAGAAGAAAAGGATTTATGGGATTTAATAAGCACTTAAAAAGCAGAATTCATCAGAAAAGTCAGGTACAGGAATGCTGTCTGTGCTTATATATAATGTTTCTTATTGTTATCATAATTAAAATAAGAAACATTTCAAACTTAAAAAAAACAGTATAATTCATTCATCACCAGCAAATATTCTAAACAGGTGAGACTGTGAGCAAGAAGAGACCCTAGTACCTATACTAAAATTTAGTAAAACAATGGAGTGATCTAAATATTCATAAGAACTTTAAAATACAAAGTTGCATAACTGCTTCAATGCTGTAGAAACCATATCCTATGTAATAAGTATTAGCATTATTTTTATTATTTTGTAAACATTCAGTGTCAAGAACAGAAATAAGGCAGTTTACCTAACTTTCCCTTACTTAATATCCCATGCTACATTAAACTATTGTTCAAAAAATTATTAATTAATTAAACCATTGTTCAGTTAACTTCAGATTATGCCTTTTATATATATAATGCATACATTTTTCTGCCGACTGCTAACAAGGTCAAAAGCAAGGCTGGCTCTATATTCACTGTAGACCTAAAGACAAATAAGAATGAGGTATTAAGTAATATAGTGCAAATATAAAACATGGAAAGATTTACTTTGTAGATAAAATGTTCAATAACTAACCAGGAAGGAGGTGCTAATAACCAAGTGACATCTGGGTAGTTTTTCCCTAATTTGTTCACCTACAATAAGAGTGAAAAAGAGCCTCAATTCCCCTTGATAGGTTCAAGGCCTTTTAAAGGTTTCCTTTAAAGAGGGATAAATATTCAATGATTATAGTCGTTGAGAGTTTAGACTTTTAGGAAGAGTGGCTATTTTAAGTAGTGCAAGGCACAGAAAGTAATTCTGAAATTATAAATTAAATGAACAGTTTTAAAAAATTACTACTGTACATCTAACGATAATGATATCTTCTTAGAAGAGTGAATGCTAAGTATGATACTAAGCTGAGTTGGAGAACACAGTAGTCCTGAAGGCACTTGTAAACTGTCCTTTCCACTATAAAACACACTAAATATTTGAATCAAGGCTATTAGTTTTGACTTGGGTTGCTGAGAAAATGTTGCATGAAAAGGGATTCCTGTTTTAAGGAGGCCAAGAGAGTGAAGGGTAAAATTGTTATATCCGGTCTTTGCAAAAAACTGCATGATCATCTTTTATTCAAGGATATTAAAATATTCAGAAATGCCATAATCCCATCATCGATTGTAGCAGCTGCAACTGCATTGCATTTTAGGTCTCTGTCTTTTAAAATATGACAATAAGCATGCACAACCCAAACCAAATTGAGATACTAGTAAATTACTATTCATTTTGGTCCTAGGTTAGGAATGAGCATTGCTCTTGAAAACTAGACTGGTAGGATGGCTCAGTGAGTAGGCCTCATTTTGCTTATATCAAGCCTACAGCCACATTTCTATTTTTGGAAATGCTACAAAATACCTGGTTGTAACATAAAACAAATCTCTCAAAGTTCCAACAGATGTTTTCAGTAGAAAAATATAAGGTGCTTGTCTTCTAGGACTTACCAAAAACCTATTCATAATCACAGGAGAAAAGAAAATCAATTTTAAAATATAAAATACTAAACAATCCAGTCAAAGAGAGAAGTTCTGATATCTAATATTTTAAATAGGAACAATGTGATTTTTAAAAGTTTAATGAGATGGGTTATGATGGTATTAACAGTTTATAATGGTTTTAGTTAGTGACAGACACCCTGATCTCAACTGCTGGTCAGTCCATACCTCTACCCGAAAGTACAGACACAGAACTGTTTAATGTTGAAATAATATACTTTTGGCAGCATAATCATTTTTAGAAATTTAAAATTATAATTCTAACTTTAAAACTGTAGTACTTTTCTATCGTACTCATAAATTCAGTAAGTTTAACTTGCCATCCTACAACCTTATGATACTAATCAGAAGTCAACACCAAACATTGAATTGTTTATTAAAATACATACATCTGCCGTGATGTCATTGAACTTTGTGATAAAAGCATGTTTTACAATATCCACAGCAATTTCTGATGCGACCACCATGCAGACATCTGGAAATAACACCCAGAGATGATCTATAAAGTAGGGGAGAAGAGAGACAGTTACATCTCGTAATATGAATAGAGTCCATAACATCCTATCACAGGCTACCAGAGAAATCTGCATTCTCCACAGGGCAAAACTGTAACATTTTCAACAAGTGATAATGGAGAGAGAACCGGCATAGAATTAATTATCAGGAAGAGTCATATCTTATCAGGTTAAAGGCTAAGTCATTCGACAAGTGCTGACTCTGTGCTTGGTACAGAGGAAGCCTTGAGGGGGGCACCAGGGTTAGTGGAGCCCAGCCTCTCCTTGGGGAGGGGTACAGGACGACTGGTGGGATGGTGAGTGAGGAGGCTCCGTCTAAACCTCTTGGGCTGCCTCGGGGTGACGGTAGATAACTGGGAGGACAATGTGCTCAAGTTAACTGAACCGTTTTTTTCTCTCTTTGATCACTAAGATTCAACGATACTGATCCATCCTTTATTTCACCGTCATACAGAGGTAACCTGCCAGATTTGCTCACCTTTACTGTATTTATTAAAACGTCAACTCAGTACCAAGTGCCTGATTAACAAATGCAAACATCAGGATAACCTGCTTAGGCCTTGAAGAAGGATATACAAGTGGGACAGAGCAGGAAGATCAGAAATGTTGGCAGGGACCCGCGGCAATCCCGCCCTGGGGCAGCTGGCGGCGGGTGGAGGGTGCAGGGCTGGGGCCCCCTTGCTGACCAGGAAGGAGGTGCTGAGCTTCAGTCAGGGCACCTCGACCTCTTTCGACAATCAGCTCTGCCACTGACTGGCTACCTGACGCTGGAAATCGTCTATTAATAAGTTCCAGTTTCCTCGTCTATGAGAGAGAAAAGTATCTGCGCTGCAGCGCTCAGCAGGGTCACTGGGCACAGGCTGCAGCGATGCGGTGCGGTCTGTGGGAACCGTGCGCGCGTGCTCCGTCGTGTCTGACTCTCTGCGACCCCATGCACTGGAGCCCACCAGGCTCCTCTGTCCATGGGCTTCTCCAGGCAAGAAGACTGGAGTGGGTTCTCATTCCTGCTCCAGGGGATCTTCCCCACCCAGGGGTCGAACCTGCGTCTCCTGCATTGGCAGGCAGGTTCTTTACCACTGGTACCATGCTGGGCCAAAGGCTACTGTGGGGGGTCTAGCTCCCACCACCCCATAGAGCACGGTCAACCCATCCTACACGTGAAGAGTGGACCAGCTAAAGAATTCTGGAGATTTCTGCACTTTTCTGTGTACTCATTTTATTCCATGGAAGAGAATGATTTTTCGCTCAGGAGCAAAACTGAAAGGCACCATAACTGTTAAGACTTCCTTACCTGGATTCCAAGAAAACTGCTCCATGTTTCTCAGACATACTATTAGCAAAAGCACATAATTTGTGAATCGTTCCTTAATATCTGAAAAAAAAGTTTAACATAAAAGTAGTATATATAAATAATACTATAGTATGTATCTAAAATAATTTTCTTTTAGTCAGAATATGATGAAATTGTCTAACAGTGTAAATTTCTGTGAAATAAATATGTTATATATAGTGTGGTGCTACACTGGCCATTTACTTTTTTCAAACCAACATAATCCTAGCACAGAAATGCCAGTTCTCTACAAACCTCAAAAAATGTTCAAACCATCTATCTGGTCAGACTTAGTCAAATTCCTCCAATGGTCTTTGGGGACATAAGAAAACTGTTTTCTTTTACAAAAGAAGAAAAAAAATAGGAGTGAGTAAAATACAAGACTTAGGGTAACATAAAACCCCTGCTTCCCAGACTGCTTCCAATCTGGTAAGTATTTCAGGTCTGGAATAAAACAACCAACTGGATGACTCATTTAGCTAGCTAACAAAGCCAACAGCATTACTGAGGGAACTTCGGAGAATAAAACAAGGCAAAAATTAGGTTTCATGAGGATATTAACCTTAATTACTAAGTATTCTGAGCTTACTCTGAATGAATTTAATAAAAGGAAAGAACTAAATTCCTGCTAAGGGCTAGTTAATACATTTCACTTTTTGACCTGTTATCTTCTTATCAGCATCTAAGATACTATGTAATCAGGAAATGGAATGAAATAAATCTGTCTGACTTGGGGTGAACTCTTACGTTAGTTAAAAAGTGAAATTTCTACCAAAATGGGAATGTTTTCTCTTAATCGCTATTAAGGAGCTTAAAAACACTGGTGATTAATGCTTTTAAAGTATTTTTGATATTCAAGTTGTTAATCTCCTTTTTCTAAGTTACCACTAACAGGGATATGCTTTAACGTATTTACAATCACATTTTATACGTGAAGTGACTATTTCATTTCCAACAGTTATTTAAATGAATGCAGGTACACAGGTTTATGTTGAGACTTAAACAGAATCACCCTGAGCTGGAACCATACTTCAAACCAATGTAACGCCTGCAGGATCTTTCTGAATGTACAGTTTACAATGTCAGTGGGTTAAAAACTATGTAAAACTCTTCATTTAAAGAACCCAAATCAGAAAGGCCTAGATGCCATACTCAGCTGGGGCTTACACTGACATGAAGTGGAAGAAAGGACCAAAAGTTAAAAAATTGGGTTTTATTAACTAAACTCTATTTTGCATGTCCTTGGACAATTCCCTGAAAGAAAATGCACAGCCAGGCAATAAACTGAAAGGATAAAGTTGCTCTAAAGTTTCCAAAGAGGAGAGTGAAAAAGTTGGCTTAAAGCTCAACATTCAGAAAACTAAGACCATGGCATCTGGTCCCATCACTTCATGGGAAATAGATGGGGAGATAGTGGAAACAGTGTCAGACTTTATTTTTTGGGCTCCAAAATCACTGTAGATGGTGACTGCAGCCATGAAATTAAAAGACGTTTACTCCTTGGAAGGAAAGTTATGACCGACCTATATAGCATATTAAAAAGCAGAGACAGTACTTTGTCAACAAAGGTCCGTCTGGTCAAGGCTATGGTTTTTCCAGTGGTCATGTATGGATGTGAGAGTTGGCCTGTGAAGAAAGCTGAGTGCCGAAGAATTGATGCTTTTGAACTGTGGTGTTGGAAAAGACTCTTGAGAGTCCCTTGGACTGCAAGGAGATCCAACCAGTCCATCCTAAAGGAGATCAGTCCTGGGTGCTCATTGGAAGGACTGATGCTGAAGCTGAAACTCCAGTACTTTGGCCACCTCATGCAGAGTTGACTTATTGGAAAAGACCCTGATGCTGGGAGGGATTGGGGGCAGGAGGAGAAGGGGACGACAGAGGATGAGATGGCTGGATGGCATCACCGACTCTATGGGTATGAGTTTGAGTAAACTCCGGGAGTTGGTGATGGACAGGGAGGCCTGGAGTTCTGCGATTTATGGGGTCGCAAAGAGTCAGACACAATTGAGCAACTGAACTGAAAGTTTCCAAACTAGGTTTTCAACATTAGACTTGTTCAAGGTTCTGAATTTGATCCCACGTACGTGCCATCTCTCACTTGGAGAGATTTTTCTTTTTCTTATGTGGGAATGGGTTTTAATGCTGCCTTAGGTAAAATTTGTTGTAAAACTTGAAGGTAGATAGAAGGGGGTACAAAGCAGACCACACTGCACTGTAACATGAACTATTCCACCTCTAACAAAAAGCAAGACTTTTCAAGCTGATTACTAACCATTTATGCCATAATATACTCTTGAATTTCTTGTAAATTCACATGCATTGCTTGATCAATATGCCATTGTTTTCAGAGCTTTCTGAAAACTGAAATACTAAATTCCTAATTTTTCTAAGCTAAGAGGTTATAATTCTGGGGACTTGTTTCTAAAAGAAAAGAAAGGGGACATTAATTATCTCAACATACTGGTGATAAGGTTGAAAACTGTTCACAATCTCCTCCACACAATAAAGACTAAAAACTGTTAAAACTTTAAAAAGACCTGCAAGCCTATTTTACAGCTCTACAAAGAGTAGCCTACTCAAATCAGGCCACTAAGGAAAAACAGCATGATTTCTGATACAAGTGAAATTCTTATAGCTGCCTCCACAGAAGAAGAAATCCTATCTCAGCTTCCGTCCTGTCATTTCATTTCAAATTCACAGAGATTGGCAGCACACATTCGAAAGAATGTTACCGAACAGAAAGGCAAAAGCCAATACTGCCTCTCACAGCTTCGAGGTCTAAGGTTTTACCACTGTTCCACAGACTGTCTGAAGTTTTTCATGAGCTCTTTTTGTTCCCTGCCTAGTTATCAAATCTCCTATAATTCCAAACGTTCCTTTGCTTTTAATATATTCACATGCCATTACTTTCCTTGCCTACTACAGAGGTAAAATTTACACACATGCGAAGTTTTACCTGTAGAATCTGATGGGCTCTGATGAATGTATAAGCTCTGCCACCATTCCCGTAACTAAAACATGAACAGTTCCATCACTGCAGTAAGTTCCCTCACACCCCTTCCTACCCAATCCCCACCCCCAGTAAGCAATCACTGTTTGATTTCTATTATCATAAATTAATTTTGTCTGATCACAAACCTCATAAATATGAAATCCCACAGCATGCACTTATTTATGTCTGGCCTCTTTTCATTCAGCATAAAGCTTTTGAGATTCCTCTATACGGTTGAAAATACAGTAGTTCTAACTGCTGAGCAGTGTTCGCAATGTAGATACACACATTTATTTATCTGCTTTCCTCTGAACAGGAGGGTCTGGGTTGTTTCTAATCTGGGGCTGGGAATAAGCTGCCATAACCGCTCTTGTACAGGTCCTTTTGTGAAACCGTGTTCCCACTGCTGGGAGACAGGGCAGGTGGCCGTGCAAGGCTGAAGAAAGCCCGTAAGGGTTCCGGGGGCAGCTGCAGCATCCCGTGCTGGCCCTCAGTGCTGAACACGCCTCAGCATCACTGACGCGCCCGGGCAGCCACTGGACCGGACGATCCGGTGCAAATGGCAACATGGTGAACGAGACAAATAGCATCTTCACAAGAACAGTCTTGACTTCGCAGACGCCCATCCAGGGATCCATGGGCCACATCTTGAGAACCAAGGCACTGCTGCTCTGATTATGACAACTATGTTACGATAATGTTTCCGGGATACATTTTGTGACCTCACACTTTGCAGAATTAGGAAGGAGGCAGTAAGTCATAAAGTCATAACTGAGAAAGCTGAGACCTAAGAGCCAATCTGAGGTTTGTGGTCATAATTCTATGGCTAAGTGAGTGACCTTGAGCAAGTCAGATCATTTCCTCTGTGTTTCAGTTTCCACATCTGTAAAATGGAGTTGTATCAGCAGCTTCCAAGAAATTTCTGAATTAGAAAGATAAGATAATAAATAATTACGGGCATTTGTATAGCACTTTGTGCTATAGTATGGTAAAGTATGGTACCATACTATACCATAGTATGAAAGTATGGTAAAGTACTATATGAATGCCTGTAATTATTTATTATATTAAACATCCTCAAGATCACAATAAGCAAAATACAAAAAACTTAGTAAAGATGTTGAGAGAGTTAAGAGAAAACACAGCTTAAGTCAAGGAAGCAGTGGCCTGTTGGAAATGTGACATTAAGAGTTTCAGAATGAATTACACAGTAACACTGCATAAAGCTTCAAGTAGAATCTGATTGTACATACCACTATTTGACATTTGAAAAAGATTGTTCTTTTCGAACTTCTTGAAAACACTTCCTTTAATTTCAACAAACTGAAACAGAAAACACAAAAGTCATCTTTATCATTACCACAGTTTTAAAAATTGACACGCCATATGTGAATCTTGCCAGAATAAATAACAAGAAAAAAAAAAACAACTTTCTCCCATCTAGAATACTGCTGTTAACATACCCATACAACCTCAAAAATATAAAATAAAATCTCATACTTACATTATTAGACATCATGATAGTAAGCAGGGACTTGTTATGTGAGTTAAAAGCCACGTTCAGAGTTGTTGCTTGAACCATTATAAGGATGGCATGTAAAACTAGCAGTAAGCGATGTCAAGGGAAAAACTGAAGTCTGTTTCCAGTTTATGTTAACAGATAATGCTATTAAAATCTCAGAAGTTTATAATGGGGAAAAATATGACTATGCTTTCTAAATCATGCCTTATACAAGTACTTTATTATCTTTGTAATTTCTCTATTAGCTATAGTTGATACAAATTTGATGGGATAAGAAACCTATGAAATAAACTATGAAACAAACAAAAGCAGAAATGATCCTAACCAATTAGATGGGGAGTTCTGGAGGACAGCCGTCTTGTTCTTTCTGGAGCTGTGGCATTTGGCACGATGCCTGGGAAATGGAATCTCAGAAAAGTTATTAAATAATGGAATACATTATGGTAAATACTGAAAGAAGAGACTTAGATATACACATTGTGAATTCCGATAATTTGCATCCTAAAACAGAAAAGAACATAAAGTGAGAGTCAGTCTGGAACTAATTTTCCTCTCTGGTTTTCACTGGGGGATGGGGAATGCAGGAGTCAGAGATGTCTGGTAATTAAGATTCTTCTTCAGATGCCAGTTCAGAAGACATTCATGAGTTTTAGAATTATATCGCCTGTGGAAGAGCTTAAATTCCATGGAAGAGCTTAAATTAGAACAGTAACTTTTGGTTCCACTGTGTCTGAAACAATCTTTTACTCGCCACAGACGTTTTTCCCATATAGTCCCTTAACTTCCCAAATGTTAATCCAATTCTTTTAAGCATTGCTCTTTCAAAGACAGTACAAAACAAAACCCACATGACACATTCCTGTGAACCAGTCCTGCTCCTATATGAAACGAGTGTGAGTATGCACATGTATGTAAACAGACAGGCATGTATAGTATACATACATGTGCACACTGTGTTACATGGTAAAACATCTATTCTCCAAAAGAAAAGCTTTCAGATGGAGGTGAGGGAGGGGGAAAGAAAACCTCTAAAATTCCTCCTCAGCTAATTTCAAATTTTACTTCTAGATGAACTGTATACATTTTACTTTTCAGTTATTTTTTATTGAAGAATTGCATACATTCTCAGCTGAAGGTTGTAACAAAGAATTCACAGGTTTAAGAGCAACTTAATAAAATTCTAACCTAAGTATGAAAAAGCTACATAGATCTATATAAATCTGAAGTATGTATAAATATAACTACCCCTTTATTCTAAAATCCTTCCTTATAACCAGTTTCTAGCAGTTTAAAGGGGCATGTGCACATGAGACTCTAATGTGCAGTTAGAGCTGGCCGCTGAGCAACATGGGTTTGAACTGCACGGGTCCACTTACACACAGGTAGTTTTCAACAGTGAAACACTGCAGGACTGAATGGCCTGTTGGTGGCTGAACCCTCAGACACAGAGACTGGTTATAATTCACCCTTGGGCTGCTGCCGCTGTTGAGTCACTCAGTCGTGTCCGACTCTTTGCGACCTCGTGGACTGTAGCCCGCCAGGCTCCTCTGTCCATAGCATTTCCCGGGCAAGAGTACTGGCATGGGGTGCCATTACCTTCTCCAGGAGATCTTCCTGGCCCAGGGATCAGACCCGCGTCTTCTCTGTCTCCTGCGCTGGTGGGTGGATTCTTTACCACTGAGCAACCAGAGAAGCCCCATACTTGGTTTAGCCTCTGTGTTGCTCAAGGACTAAGTAGACTATTATAACCAATTTCTCAAAAGAAAGTAGACATTTCACATTAATCTTTAGGATAAACACACACACACCTCTTTAAGTGTGAGAAACAGCTAACCAAACAGAATAGTATAAATATGCATTGATGGCTGGCATTTCCAAGAAGTCTAAAAGGATACAGACATAGAGGACGGCCATGAAAAAGTGGGGAATCACCCCGATGTGGGCTCTCTTCCTTTCTTTGGGCTCTGTTGCTGTCCAGTAGAGAGCATCTAATATATCTTGTCCAAATGAGGAAAACAGGCGATCTGCTACCTAAAGAGAAAAATTAAGAAAACGTGTTTCTTACTATGCCATCTGCATATCTTATTAAAATTCAGAGGTAACACAAATACCAGAGGAGATAAGCTCCAAAAGAGAGCAGGATCTTTGTTTACTTAATCGCTCACATTTTCTTATTCTCTGACACAACCTGAACACCCAAGTGTTATACTAACTGAATTAGAATTTGTCTAACTAGCCACGTTTGCAACAAGGAAAATCTTAGTCATTAAATAAAAGGGAGAGGACACATTAAAATCATAGTTCTTCTGGTTTTAACTTTTTGAATTTAAATTCAGAACTCAAACTTAAACTTTTAAGGACAAATATCATTTGACCCATTCTCCTTATACCTAATATTGGTAAGTAACAATAACTGTGATTTGTTTGAGGTTTATCATATAAGAATATAATAAGCAAATTTATTCCTGGAAGACATTTTCAAGTACTGATCTCCATGAATATAGTTCAATAGATAAAGAGAAGCACATAAGAAAAAAAAAAAAGGAGGGCTATCATTCAGGATTCAGCTGGAATGTCACATCCTGAGACAGGACGTTCCTGGCCCATCCAACCTCCTCTGGTGGCTCCCAGTCTCTAAAGCATCACCCTGTTCCTCTTCATCACAGTTATTTATCATTGCCTCTCTCTCACCTGCCTATTCATCATGGTATTTATCACCGCCTCTCTCCCAACCTGTGGAGTACTAGCCATGGGACTAGGCTTTTGCACCTCGGGCTCTTGGGGATCTCGGCACGCAGGAAGTGTCGGTTAAACACTTGCTGAGTGAAGAAATGAGAGCTGCCAGTGAGGGAGCTCCCGCCACACGCCTGCCTGGTGCTAAGCCCCTTCTATGTGCTGTCTCATGGAATCTTATAATTCTCCTAGTATCTCCATCTCACAGATGACAGGCTGAAGAGCAGAACTGCTCAGCAGCTGGACGCACGTGCAGGATAACCAGGATTGGAGAGTTCTCTCTGGGGCCTGGACTCTGGCCCACTATGCTGAAACTGCATCATCAACTAGAGTCAGTGAGCATTTAAACCACTGCGATCGGCAGCTCGTGGATGCCCCTGCTTGGCCCACTTCCTGATCACAGCAACAACGGCACCTTGTGGGGGGCGCTGAACAACAGGAGGCACCTCTCTTAAGTTTTGGGGGGAGGGAGAAGCCTGGTCAGCTGCAGTCCCCCCAGGGAGGAGGCAGTGGGGCCTGACATGGAGAGCTGCCCACACGGCCAGAGGGGACAGGAGGACTGGGCTTTTCTTTGACGGGACAAGGGGAGCTCAGGATGGCTACTCTGCTTCACAAACCCAGCCAAACCCACTGTCAGTACCTCACCTGACCTGGCAACAAGCCCGCACTGGGAAGCTAGGGTGTGGTTCCAACTTATCTCAGCTGATGAATGTAGGTGCAACCAGGATGGATAGAGGGCCCCAGTTTTGTGAAGAGACAGGAAGTCCCCACCCAGGCAGTGGCAGACCAGAGAGGCCAGCAGCCCCACATCACCCCACGTGTCTACCACGTGTCAGGAAAACCCATTGGAGACATGACTTTGCCAACAAAGGTCCATCTAGTCAAGGCTATGGTTTTTCCAGTGGTCATGTATGGATGTGAGAGTTGGACTATAAAGAAAGCTGAGCATCGAAGAATTGATGTTTTTAAACTGTGGTGTTGGAGAAGACTCTTGAGAGTCCCTTGGACTGCAAGGACATCCAACCAGTCCATCCTGAAGGAAATCAGTCCCAAATATTCAATGGAAGGAATGATGTTGAAGCTGAAACTCCAGTACTTTGGTCACCTGATGTGAAGAACTGACTCACTGGAAAAGACCCAGATGCTGGTAAAGATTGAAGGAAGCGGGGGGGAAGGGGACGGCAGAGGATGAGACAGTTGGATGGCATCACTGACTTGATGGACTCGAGTTTGAGTAGGTGCCGAGAGTTGGTGAAGGACAGGGAAGCCCAGCATGGTGCGGCCCATGGGGTCGCAAAGAGTCAGACGTGACTGAGTGACTGAACTGAACTGAATCTAAAAGACAGGGAGACCTTACTGGTGTCCCCAAAAAGTAGTACAGAAAAGTGAAAACTGAACCTTAAAAGGTTAATGATATAACCCAGGTTATTTTACTATTTACTATTTATATATTTACTATTATTTAATATTTAATATTACTATTTTAAAAAAAACTTAAGATTCTGCCTATAAAGCAAAGCGGTTTTTTTTTTTGCTTTGTATAACTGTTTATTTTTTACATAAATGCAGATTTTCACAGGATGACTACTTTAAAGTGTAGTGTACCTTGAAGACATATTGTATTAAGAGCATTAAATACTTAGAGAAACTGGGAAATTGTTTACTTGTTATGTGTGAAAATTTAAAAGCAATTTAAAATATAAATCTATTATAGCCAATAAACACATAATTCTAAAAATATCTTCATAACATTTACAGTTCTAGCAAAAAGCACACATGGGTTTCCAATGAATCAGGAAAATTGCCCTGTCATCTGATAGTCTACACTCTCAAGGGGGCACTGAGTCAGAAACGTCTGGGCAGCCGATCCCCCTCCTCCCCACCGGAGGACACACGGCGCCCTGTGGGCCGGCTGCCCCCAGTGTGCCCTGGGACGCCAGGCACCATCTCGTTAGAGGGATTCTAGATCAGATGTGCATCCTCACAAGGCCACCCACGACGGCACAAGCCCCGGCGGCTGGAGGCGGCACTGGCAGAGCCGGCGGGAGGGTGTCCTGAGCGGGAAGCCGTGTGCCTCGGGCCGGGCCTGCTGGGCTCACCTCGAGCATGTTGTAGATGATGTACAGCTTGATGACCGACTGCCCCCGGATCAGGTGATACATCATGGAATAGTCCACGTAGTGCATCATGAAATAGCAGATGACCAAGATGACCCCCTTCAGGATGTCACACACCTGGGCAGGCTGAAGCACACGTCGGTCCCTGAAACAGACAAGAAGTAACAAAAAGGGGAGTCTCACCTTCTGTGCTCTTGAATAAACCATCTTACGGGACAGGCAGTGGCAAACAAAGGAAACGGCAAACAAAAGCTTCACACTACCGGGGAAAGTTATGCTGACTACTCAACAGTAGGAAACTTCCTGCCCAGGTAGAGAGTGTAAAGATACTAGACCAGAATTACAATGAGAGGAAGTGGGAACCTTAACGAGTGACCACAGAGGGCAGGTGGCTGCTGGCCGAGCGCCTGGAAGCAATGGGTTTCCACAATGAGGACACAGGCCTCCCAGCTCATCAGGAACCCAGGACCCCACTGGCGCGGCCCTTCTGACAGAGGGACGGCGTTCGACACTATTTTCCATGATCAGTTCTTACAGACAGCACGGTGTTCCACTGCATGGATGCATCATAATTTAACATAACACTGACAGATTTCCAGCCTTTTGCAACCATAAACCATGACGTAAGGTACATGTCATACCTCGTAAGTGAAAACATATTTATAGGATAAAGTCTTAAAACTGGAATCTCACGTTATGTTCACTTTGTCCTTCTGGTAAGACCTGTGCTGCCCTCTGCAGGAGCTGTACCAATTTACACTTGCACCAGACGCCTGGAAGCTCACGTGCATCAATTCAGGGATACTGGCTAAAGCCACTGGTGAGAAATCCAATCTAGCAGTTTTACTGTTAATTTCTCTCATTAGAACACTGACATCTTCTTTAAATATTTATCTATACTATCTGTGAATTCTCTCCTCGTATCTTCTTACTAGTTTTTAGGATGGTTGTTATATTACAAACATTAGCCCTCTGGAACATAAGTTGGAAATACAGTTGCCCCCTGAATAACATGGGTTTGAACTGCACAGGTCCACTTATACGTGGATTTTTCCAATAAATATGTGCTTCAGCACTACGTGACCTGCGGCTGGTTGAGTCCTCGGATGAGGAACCACAGACAGGGAGGAGTCCTGGATACAGAGGGACCGTGGATACGGCAGGCCGGCCACTGTGCGTCAGGCTGGTACCCCAACCCTCAGAGGCTCAAGTGCCAATGACGGATTTTTCTGCTAATTAATATGAGCAGAATCATTCCTTACTTCCAAGGTCAGAGTACAAAGACCTAAACCTAAACTGTGAATGGAAATGTATTCCTAAGATACAGGGAAAAAATACATTAGAAAAGAAGAAATTAAGATGTCTGTCACAACGTGTAAAGTTCCTGTGGCTGGAGTGGAAAGGTGCTTTCTCTGAGTCTACTGCAGGCTGACGCCTCAAGATTGAAAATGCTCAGCCCCCTCGGCAGCTTACATACCGTGCGATCAACAGAAAGCATGAAGATCTGCATCAGGGGTGCAGAGCCGCTTCACTTCTGCCCCCGTGACGGCACTTTGGCTCCCAGTAAGGGGTGAGCCCCCTTTCCAGGGGCCGCCGGCGTCCTGAGCTGGCCCTTACTGGCTGTTCCTCGGCTACCTACTCTCTGAGCTCCTGCTGAGCACTCGGCCACATCCAGATCAGGGGCGCTTTTCTTCCAAAGATCCTTGCTGGGTTGGGCAAGGGCGGGTAGCCGCTGCCCAGAGCGCCGTGCCGTACGGCGATGGTGAGGCGCGCAGAACCTCAGCGATGTGCGCTGGGCACAGCTTTCCGTCTCTTCTCAGGGAGAACATGGAACCCGACAAACACCCTGAGAAGAGGCAGACTCTGTGAAGTCTGCGTCCAGGGAGGGCCAGCAGTGGATGACCCTGGGCTGAACCAACGAGCTTAGATGGAGAGACGGTTCAGGACGGTCCAGGTCACACCCCAGGTCATGAGACGGGCACAAGAGACTGAAGGGAGTTCTTCTCAGCAGTGGAGGTTGAAATCTTGGGGAAAACTGCCTCCAGGACAAGGCTGACATATCTCTACCATCACTTCTCTGTCCCTTCCTGTCTCCAATGCTTTCTTCTCCCTCCCCGCAGACGTGGCCCTGTCTTTCCCCATGAAATCTGGAGTGAGCTCTGTCTTAGTTTGGACACTGAGCCCAGAGCACGGAACTCTGCTAAGGGCTGTGCAACTCTCAAGGGAATCCGCTGCCCCCCCCCCCCCCCCCCCCCGCCCCAACCGCCCCCGTGAGATACACATTTGTCAAGAGCCGGAGGTAAACATCTCTAATGCAAACAACGAGAAAAGGAGACATTTGGACACTCTTGGGCCCTGGACTGTTTGCCTGTACCCCCAGGACGGCTGGGGCACAAATGGAAGCCTCTGCCAGGAGCGCCCGCCCACGTGCCCGCAGAAGTGCAGGCACAGATGGGCATATACTGAAAAGCACACCTCAGCCTCTGTTGGGGCCTTCTGCTTCAGCACCGGAGGCTGTGTTTTATCAATGAGAGAGAATGACAGGAATGAAATGCAGGATGGTATTAGTGAATCTGTGTTAATTACCAAAAGGATTCAGGTAACTAACTAAAGCAGAAATCTGTAGAGCTTTTAGGACTAGAATGGCATCTACTCAGTTAACTGGTCTCAGCCAAAGCTCTTTAAGAGATGAAGGGACTTTTAACACATATATGTTCAATTGTGTCTCTTTATAAACATTTGCAACAATGGAACAATGAGTTAGTATATTCTCTAAGAAGGAATGGCTTCCCTGGTGGCTCAGATGGAAAGAGTCTGCTTGCAGTGAAGGAAACCTGGGTTCGATCCCTGGGTCAGGCAGATCCCCTGGAGGAAGGCATGGCAACCCACTCCAGTATTCTTGCCTGGAGAATTCCATGAATGGAGGAGCCTGGCAGGCTACAGTCCATGAGGTTGCAAAGAGCTGGATGTGACTGAGTGACTGAACTGAATCAAACATTGAAAAGCTATAATCTCAAGTAACATAATACTACAATGTTTAAACCAAGAGGATACTAAGTTCAAAATCTGGCATAAACAACTTCAATTTAGCTTTATGTTGCCTACAATTAAATCAGGTTGTGAAAATGCAGAAGTGCTGTAGAATCATGCTACAATCCACAGGCCCTCTGTGGCAGGCACCATTCTAGGCACTTCGTACGCTCTCTCTCTCAGTTTCCGCAATAATCCTCTGAGATCCAGTGAGGAAGCGACCATCACCATCCTGATTTCCCAAAGGGTATCAGGAACGTGTCTGCAGCTGCACAGTTCGGAATTAACAAGCAGTGGAGCCAGGATCTGACTCTTGGCCTCTGGCTCTAGAAGGCAATTTCTCACTCCCACCTACTATTCTAGACATTTCTTTAAAAGAACTTTTTAAACTCACAGGAATCAGCAACTCATTATGTTTGATCTTGCAGCATAGTTTAATACTGTATAATTTATCACTGTACTGTCATCTCATTTGGAAAAATGATTGTGCCAAATACCAAATATAGCTACAAGTTTTGCTTTTTGTTTCTAAAAAGAGAGGGGAGAAAAAGGACTATTTCCACTGGATCCACTGCTTTCTGTGCAGGTTCTGCTTTGGTGGAAATATTCCATTGCTTAGATCATAACTGGTTGCTAGGAGATGACTGATTTTAAAAATTAAAGAGATTTATTCAAATAAAAAATAAAAGAAGCAGAACTGTTCAGAGACAAAGGGTCTTGCTATCATATACATGCACCTGTAAATGAAAAAGGAAAGCTGCAAAAACTGAAGGAAAAAAAAAAATTCTAAGGTGGCATCACAACCTCTCTGAAGTAAAATCGAACCTCAGAATAAGTTCATCTGGTGCAAACAACCCAAACCAATTCCACTGCTTGTTTCCTTCTCTGCCAGGACATTTGTGGATGACTGTATGATATGCGTTTCCAACTCCATAAGAAGCTTACCCACCAGCCCTGCCAGTCAGCTCTGAACTGGTTCCTGAAGAATGCTTTCAGGGTGAAGCTCTTCCTCATAAATGCCTATTAAACAGCAGTTACTTGCAATTCACTTTGCAAATGCTGAAAATCCCACACAAACACATAAAATAGTGGAGGAAGCTGCTGGACAAAGTGAAAAACCCGCTAATCTAATTTATAGCTTGGCCATCAGTTATCACAAGACAAGTAATACTAACCAAGAAATTCAACAGAACTTAAAAACATTTAAAACTTTCAGGTTAAGTCAAGCTTCCGGAAATTAAAACTTTCTACATTTCTAAATTTTATCTTTTGGTCATTCAAATACTTCCCCTGGATTTGCACATTTATCCAATAAAGGACCCCGTTGCTTCAAGGGCACTCTTGGGGAACAGAATGATGGAGCAGAAAGATGATCAGTTGCAGTTTTCCTCATCCTGGGCAGCAGGAGGTGTTCAGCTGACTAAGACTGAAGTGTAAGCTGACAAGTGAACAGAAAGATCAGGACAGAAGAGCAGGCAGCACCATGACCAAGAGAACTGGGGTAATCCGTGCCTACTTCATTTTCAAGTCGGTGTTCAAACATGCCAAGGTACCAGCGTGAGGTACTTCATCACAAAATACACAGGCTGGATCTAACTTTCTCTCTCTCTTAACGCTTTCAGCTGCTCATGGTATGACTGAAAGAATGAAGAAATACAAAGGACTATTGGAAAAAAGTGAAAAGTCAAAAATGGTGTCCATTTTTGAAAGAGAAGTCATTTTCTAATTTTAAAGTAAACTGCAATAAACTATTGAGATTAAGAGGTTTTCCTTACTTAGAAGACTGAAAATTGAACACCTTAAGCTTTTGCAACAGACAGTAGAAAAATTAATTACAAATGCTTAAACTGAATGACTGAAGTGTTTCTTGGGTTTTAAAATGGTTCCAAACTATACTAGGAAAAAAAGCACTGGCTTGATAAAGCTATGTTTGGTGCCTGAATGATGCAAAATAAAAACTGCTCACATGGAAGGAATTTAAGCTCACATGAAGGAATTGATGTGGTGGTGGGAATGAAGGACTTGATGTCAAATCTAGACAACATGTGTAACTGAAATTCATTTTATCAAGTGATCTTCCTAGGTTAGGTGAGATTCTGGTCAAATCCTGCACAA